CCGACATTATGCGGGCCGCTTCGGTGCGATACATACCGCAAGGGCTGACAGTGCCCGCACTCATGTACGCCGACATCATTGCATTTGTGACCGAAAAACTACCATGGTGCGCTGAACAGCTCCGGGCCATACCCACCACACCCATAGACATTAGACACACACAGGTGTCGCTGTTTGTCGGCGAAGTTAACGGCTTTAATATTATGGCTAAACGGGTGGCAGCCCTGAGGGCCGGTCGAGACATCAAGATCACGGGCTCTGAGGCCGAACTGATGGCCAAATTTAAACAATTAGAGAAAAAGATATTGTATTTGTTGGATCACGTGATCAAAGTGGCCAGACATCCCTTCTGGAGTGTATTCCACGTACAAGTAAGTGCTAGAACATTTTGAAATTTATTAAGATATTTATAATTAACCTTTTGTTTATAAACCTAGATTAAAGAGTTTTGGCTGAAGGAGTTCCCAAAACTGGAGGTGGCTCTCAATGAATTGCCTGCCGGTTATGTCAAGCTGAGAAACATTCAGCTAATTGTCATGGATCTGGCCCATTCTACATTGCCGCCCTTGTAATTTGTTTACAAGATGGTGCAACAGTTATAAGACATTTATTTATATTATAATCCTTATATTTAGAAAATTATGAACAATTTTATTTGTTAGTTTTGTTTAATTTAAATATAATATATCGTATAATTCTTTATACATACAAAATAAACTTAAAAATAATAATATTATTATTATTTTGGAAAATACCATAATTATAGTTTTAGCATAGTAATACTTTATAAATATACAGCCTTGTAAGCACCACTATAACAATCATCAATCATGATTGTTATTAAATCAATAGTATTATTAAGATAATTACAGTATATTAATATTTTTATTGACTTTATTTATATTGTGTACTATTTTTGTAATATTTACAGTAACTTAACATGTTTAATGTTGGTTTATTAAATGTTGCTAAAATTGTCATTTAATACAGCATTTGTTGCCAAGGCTATAATAATACTAGTGAACAATTAACTTACTTCTACAAGATAAATGCAATTACAAATATAAATACAAATATAAACGCATAAACATTTATTTTAATACACGTAAAACTTTATGTTTGTAACCCATTAATAACTATATTGACCAAATATAAATTTAATTAAACTATGATAAAAACCATATATAATAATGTCTTTAATTTTAATTTTATTTATGATGTTTTGAGTTTGATTGAACTACATTTGTAAAACAAAACTTTTAATAATACAAAAGTAAGTCAAACATTCAAAATATCACTTTCTCTATAGTAATCAATAATTCATTAATGTAAACAAATTATAAATATTATGCAAAAATAAATAAAAATTGCACAAATCAAAATTTTTATTTATTACAATTGTTTTTTAATAATTATAAAAACATTAATGTTAATTAAATGTTACCTTGGTTACAGTGAAACAAAAAAGCATTTAAAATACTTGAATTCA